TGCAGTAGCACTTTACACTTTGCAGGTGTGAAGCGCATGCTGAACCGCGGGGCTGAACTATTTGTATTATTTAATATTGTTTGCATTACGACAGGGTCAGACCGAAGAAGAGCTGCGTTGTCTGCGTACTCCATGTCTGTGAGCGGAGGTCCAGGGAGCACTTCGACCCCACAGGCATTAGAGGCTGATAGTGAGTCTTCCATGATCGCATCAATGACGAAGTTGAAGAGGAAAGGTGAAAGAGGACAGCCCTGTCGGACACCACTTGATGTGGTGAACTCAGGCGAGAGCCTCCCGTAGACCTTCACACGGCCGCGGGAGTTGGCGTACAGCGCCAATTAATGTGTTCCCATACTGAATCTTCATTAGATTAAATCCTTTCCTTGAAAGTAAGCCGAAGGCAGGGCTATGCTTTCCTATGACAGAATGACTGATTGCAAGAGGACAGATACTGAATCTTGAAACTAAGCCGAAGGCAGGGCTATGCTTTCCGATGACAGAATGACTGATTGCAAGAGGACAGATTGAAATCAAAAGGCATACATCCTCCAAACCAGGCAGACCAACTTTTTCTACTGCCCAATACCATAGAATGTCGTGCAAAATATCCAACTCTTTTCATCGCTTTTGTTTTTTAGATACTGGCTGTAAAAGTTTCTGCTTTGATTGATTGGCAGATATCTCGCTTTTTCATCCTCATTTTCGGGGTTTCCGATGGTGCCTGCATTTCCCCTCGCTCAATAATGTGGAAGATTTGCTGGCCTCCGCGAAGCTACTTTATTTTACTCGCTGGATTGCGGAGAGTCACGAAAATGGGTTTCCATCTGTGTATTACGGACAGGATTTTATGAACATGTGGTGGTTTGTTTCGATTTGTTTGAGACAAATTTCCAGATGTTCAGCACTCCTGACTATGCCTAACTGTGGCATAGGAGTTCAGCGGTTCACGTTGCCTCAGTAGTTTCTAGCCACCCAGCCAAGCTCTAACAAAGGGTCACAAAACAAGGTCGATATGTGATCTAATCGAGAAACCAATGGCCGTTTTTAGGATCATGGTGAAGATTGGATTATCGTATCCTGCGTCCTAGCGTTGATACCTTCAATCCGTATTCACACTGTACACTGCACTTCAACAAGTGGCACCGTATGTGCACCCCAGGCCAGATGATTTTCCACGTTCTAGTTCATTCAAGAAGAACTTATCAATCTGGTGGGATGGTGTACACCAGCACTTATGGTACCAATTGGCTAGGACGTTTCTGTTGTGATAGTTCCTTTTGGAGAGTACATCGGCCATGAAGAGAACTAGAATGTGCCTGTGTTGGTGGCTGTTTGTGACGTCAAGGGAGTGGATTGGAAAAACGCCGTCCCCCTAGACTTCTGTCCTCGCCAGCGGCTCTCTTCTTGAGGGATTTGCTTTGATTTTTTTAGAGTTTCCACACCGGAGGAGTGTACTGTTCTAGTAAGTCGAAATTACACAGACAAGAGCAACCATGCTTAAACTGTTTACTCGTGTAAACGTGTGACGTATTTGTGTATATCTGTCATAAAAAAGACTGTTCCTTACAGTTTGCATTGATTTCCGAATTCGCTGAACACTATCGGATCACTACACATGCACATATTTCTGAACCAACCACTACTGACTGACCGACAAGTCGATAATATGACCTTTGATTACACGGTTATCTCGCATATAGCGAAACACATGCTTTGATCAAGTGTTCCAAGTAAAGCGAGCAACAAACAGGAACTCGGTCGCACGCTTTCGCTCGCTTCATAGAGTCGACTATACCTACGTGACACACACGAACAGGAACGATCTGTTCGTACCTTCCACCATCACACAATACACGGATTGATCACTGTGAACCTATCTCACGCATTTGGCGGCCTAGTTGAATGGCCTTGGCAACCATTCGAAATCAGTCTATCAAACTGCTCACGTGACTCTATCACTCCACTCAGTAGACCCCTGTGCCAGTTTGCACATAAACTGTTTGTTCGTGTCCTTCCTATATTCACTTGCGAAACCAATCTCAGAGGTTGTAAAAGGCAGTGTGGTGGTGAATCGTACGTGTTTAGTCGGCTTGATTTTGCCTTCAGACTTTCGAGGCGAAAATGGGCTGGTCTGTATCCTGATTGGTCTACGCCTTCAGTCAGAGCGAGTTAGTCCGATAGGGATATCAACCCCTCCGTTTAAGGAGGAGTGAGCATTCTTGCGGCCACTCAAAGATGACGAGAAGTTATCATTGATTGCTGTTTCAGAATGACTGCTCTCGAGCGATTGCACCCATAGAACAAGTGGCTCCGGATTACTGCGCGAATTCCACTACATCGTGACAAATTACCATGTTTTGAAAACGCCGAAAGCCTTAAGCGTTGCGATTTGGGGTTGATATTTTGACTGATCTCTGTTTCACTGTAGCTCATCAACTGGATGACGGACGAGCAGTTTTTTGTGAGAGCAATTGATCACTTTGATGTCACCCAGCCAGAGTTCCACTGAAGCCTGGAGCTGTCGTCGCATCCAGTTTGTGACTTGTGATTGCCGCTCACTCGGTTTATTCAATCGATTACGCACGGCGAGAGGAACAATGAATAATCCCTTCGTATTTAACCTTGGTTGTTTTTTATTGTGTTCAAAACCAGCGATGCATATCCTACGTTCACTCCTGTTGAACATTCGGAAACGTCAATCATGAACTGCTGTTCATTCTCACTTACGTACCAGGAAAACGGCTTGCTAATTTACTGAAAAGTTTGTGCATCTATCCTGGAGTAGTTGCCGATACTTGCTATCGACAGGCTAACAAGACACAACAGCATTTGTCCCAGGTTGATGGAACTCATCGGTTTCCTGTTTGGATTTTGTAAATGGCTGGTGATTGTTGACGTTTCTATCACTTTGGGTTGAGATAAGTGGAACACAGTCAATTTTAGGAAAAGAACCTTCGATTACGCTACAGACGTGGTACGGGAGTCATTGCCGTTTGTTCTACTGTAACCGAGTACGCTGGTGTTGGATAGGCGAGGCCTAGTCAGATTGACCAGTTCTGTTCACTTCTAGTTTTGGAAACGGCCTGTCGACCACCCTTGTGAATCTCTCCCCACGAAATAGGTACTCTGTCATGCCCATGAATAAAACGATCATCTGCTATTAAAGGTCTACAATTTACTAAAACATCTGCAGTAATCCTCCGAGAGTGGTAGCTTCAAGAAGGTTGGATATTTGTCCTGTCATCTGAGGCCATCTCTTTCGGATAGGTCTTACCAGGTCCCAATTAACGGTGGATCATTCTTAGGAGTAGCCCACCGTGGGAGGCTGTTGCTATGAGTCTGTCCATCTAATATGTCAGCCACTGAAATTGGTTGTTTGCTATTTAGGAAAATGTTCGCTTGTTCGCTGAGCTGGGCAATCAGATTGCAAACGTTTCATCTCCAATCGAGGTGACATCGTCAGTGCGTTTTTAGGGAGCGTAGTGATGGGTTGGTGGTTGTGCCTGGAGGGGTGTTGCGTGTGTGTTAATATAGAGATAGGTCAGCCATTTTTATCGTTGATTGTTTCAGTCACCAAAGGTATTTCGGCACAACCACCGATCCACCACTATACATACTAACAACGCACTGATGATGCCATCTCGACTGGTAATTAAACGTTTGCAATCACATTGCCCAGCTCAGTGAACAAACAAACAACCTTTACGGTCTGTGCGCACATCTTGGTTCACCATCATAACCAGTGCTACACATTTTCCATACGATTACTGCGTTAGAAGCAGCTGCAACCGAGCTTATCACGTTTCTGAGCCTTTAAGGGCTGTTTTCGATGAACACACCCTTCTTCAGTACCAGCAAAAGTTGATCCGATGCTAGCTAACTATATACTTTTAGTATTCTTATTTGCAATCAGACTACGATGGCACTCCGTTATATTTCAGGATTTGATCCTTAACAGTACTGCACTCTTAGCATTGGGCATTTTCCAACCAGTTGTAACGACCGATTATGTGTTATGGGCTCTACGCAAAGGTTCCATTTGAGTCACCTGAGATAAAAAATGTCATATCTGCTGATTCGCCAATCTGTGTTATCTGCTGCTGACCCGCTCCAGTGCTTAATGCCGGAAAAAGACTCACAGAAGGGAACACATCTATATTCCGAACAAGCGAGTGCGAGTGCGAAAGTACAGCAATCTTAAACTAGTTGACACTGTCCGAACTTGGTCCAATGCTGACGCACACGGTCTGGCTTTGGTACGAGGCTGCGACGCTCTGCATATTGCGGGGCGTTGTCTGACCTTGATCAACGCTGACTCTCCCCGCCTGGGTTCGATACAGGGCTGTGAAGCGCTGCCTACTGAGGGGGCGTTGTCTGTCTGGTCAACATCTAGCGGAGCTGAGAGTCTCAGTAGATTTCGGGCATTCAGTGGTTGCTTTCAGGAATCTGACCTTCCCGATAAAAAACGTTCTAAGACTCGTGATTAAGCCGCCATAAATATGAGAACGAAATTCGCGGTGCACCATCTGGCCTGCAAGGACAATAATTTTATTATAGCTTGTTAACAAATACTGCACCTCGATGCTAGAAGATATCTGTTTCGGTCGGTTCCAACTAGCACCGGGACCGACCAGCGTTCTCCGGGCCTTTATGGTCTAACGTTGCCAATTGACGATCGTATTCACGGTTCCGGTCAGACGGCGAAGCTGAACACTACGTCTTCTTCAGTACATCAAGCTCTTCGCTATCTGAGATTACCAGTCCAAGCTTCTTGTCATACATTCTCTTCCACACATAACCGATAAACTGCAGGCGGTGAGACCCAAGCCCGTGATTTGGATTGTGTTGCTGTAGTCGTTAAGTCGCATTGTTGAGTGGGCATCGCTATATTCGTTAACTTTGGGAGAACATTTGCATCAGAAGACTGCGTTAAATAGTACTGTGGCCACGTGAGTAACAGATCCTTTGGGAAAATGCCAGATGAAGTGTAGACGGGCTAGATGACTGCTTATGAAGTTCGGAAAACTTGGCTCACAGGCACTCACAAAGCTGCAACGACCTGAACCACGGTGCACCTTCATCGTAGTTGTTTAACTGACCTGGACGTTCATTCTGTTTCGTTGCATCTCACTTGATAGTTGTTCGGAGTTACAACTGGCAGACAACGCACAATGCGGTATTACCCATAAATGTGTGACCATTCTATTCAGTAAGGGAGCCAGGCAGATTGAGAGGTTACAGTTTGTGGTGGTTGCCGCTTGAGTAGTTTCAGTGCCATTTGACTGTTTAATTTACTGTCGTTCAAACAACGGCTGAACAGGCAACGCGTTTCATCGTCGGGTAGTACTCACTACTGTTGGACTGTTCAGAGCTGTAATTACTGTTGAAGTTTGTTATGAACTTTACATCAACCGCTTCTCTGTGTCCGTGTACTTATCTGCGTCCATCCCGTTATTCTTTGCTTTGGGGTTTGCGAGGTTGATTTTCTTTGCCGCATCAGGTTGTCTACGTTGCATGCCATCTGTCATTCTTCAGGGACTATTGGTAACGAGACGCCCACAACGTTTCCATCAAGTTTGTATTCCTCAGTCTCCTGTCATGGATGACGGATAGGGCTGTCGACCGATATCAGTGGCGTTCGTGCTGCAGGTTTATGTTCAAATCTTCTGACTGAGTGTCGGAGGCACCTCGGGTGTTTGTTACGAGTTGGCACCAGTCCCCTCTCTGTCCTACTTTTGTTTTCATTTAACCAATTGACATGGGTATGCGACAGCGCAGCACTAGTATCCGACACTGTTATTGCTGTCAACGACAGTGATAGGTCACCTTTGTTCACACATTGGGTCTCCATCCTTCGCTAAACGTGTACACACTTTCTTGATATCATCGGCGCTCGTCGTTTTCATCCTATTGATCACTACTCGTCTGACACTATAAATCGCTAGTATCCTACGCTGTTATTGCCATCAACGACAGTGATATATCACCCTTGTTTACACATCGGGTGTCCATCCTTCGCTACACATTTGCACACTTTCTTGACGTCATCGGTCAGTTTGGGCGCTCGTCGTTTTCCTCCTGTTTGATCACTACTCGTCTGACACTATAAATCCATCGTGAATTTCGGCTTTCTATTCTCAAATTCAATCATTCCACTGATGTTGTGGGTAGCCAGTAGATATATACTTTAGGTGGATTGTTCTTTTAACTTTCTACATCGCTTCCGCGTACTCATTCTGCTCATGTTTATTTTTCCCTCTCATTCTCCCTCTCTCTGTCATCCAGTTGGTTGATACAAAAAGCGTGGATAAGTCGTGGACACTGTTGCACTACATTGTGGATACCATCCAAACCAGGTTTCCCGCCCTCATCACGTTCTACGAGAGTTTTGGAGATATTGCTACCGCTGCGAAAGGTAAGCAACTATTTGCTCGCATATTTTCTCGGTAAAACTCATTTCTCCCCCCCCCCCTAAAATGAGTGACCTGGCTTTCAGCGATCAAACGAAACTGATGTCTTTCTATAGCTTTCGGTTCCTGTTTTGTCCCACCATTTAACGGGTTATATGATCGAAGTGCTTTTTATCCGTTTTCATATCTCAGGACTTGCACCGAAACACGCCGTCCAATGCAGCGAATTGACAACTTCACATACACTGTTCGTAGGTTGACCAACCACTGGCATACGTATGGTCGTAGGCTTCATGTTAAACAAGGATTCGGTTGGCTGTTTGTTTACACTTGATAGGCTGTCGCTAAAGCCCCACTTCGACCTTATCATGTCGATTAATGTTTACTCTTGACATACAGTTTTGAAAACCTACCCCACTGGGTCTAATGTGTGCCTGAATAGATCGTTTCGTTTGCACCTTTTTTTGGTAACAACTATGTGTAGAGTTGGTGTGTGCTTTTTTCAATCCAAAGTGACCAGTTGAACGTTTTTCGTAGGGACGTTGAAACACCAAACAAGATATAGCCATCCTTCAAGTGCGACCAGTTCCGTCCAGGCACTGTGTGATATTTGAGCGTTTTGATGTGATGTGTCTGTTCACTGCAATCCTGTCACTGGATCTCACTACCTGCACTTGGACTAAAGATGTGGTCAGGTGGAACAGGGGGAAGGCCCACGGGCCTGATCGATTGGATCATGGAAAGGACGCATTTCGATGTGCTCGAAATACCGCTCTTTAGCTTGGAAAAATGGTTTACTATATTATCCAATCCAATATGGTTTCGAATCATCGTATAGACGTGCTGCCGACCTATACAGATAGGTGTTGAGTGACCTACAAATCACACGCCACTGCATCTAAAAGACTACACATTTGGTCTGGGATCCTTTTCTTCTAATCTGTAGACAGTACGACGTGTAGATTTTTGTTCAACCCAACATTCAAGGTCAGTGAATCCCCTAAAGCGTTGACTTCCAGTTTTTCTCTCGCTATGCGCATAGTTGTTTGTCGAGGACAGGTCGTGACTTGGAAACCCGCAATAAAAGCGGTTATTTTCAGACTGAGCGCCATGGTATCTTGGCGGTGGGCGGGGTCCTTGTTGCCTCTCCCTGCTCGTGGAGCACGGCGCACATTGACTTGCTCGCTATCGCTTCGTAGTTGGACTTTCGAGCTAGATCTTATTGCCTGTTGTTGTGTACTGGACTTGTATTGAATGTGGTTCACAAAAGATGGTACATCAATCGTCGTACTACATATCGATGTTCATGTGTCCGATGCACTACCTGTTTCCTGGTAGTATGAGCATCTTGCTTTTGTCTGTTTTTCCCTGGACCCTCTTCCTTCGTGATTGAATGCCAGTTTCCACTAATGTTGTATTGCTGCCAGTGACGACTATGTTAGTGGTACATTCTTGGCCGCTTTTCAACTATGCACTAAATTTTAATTCCTGATGCATCTTCCATCTGGTAACCTTTTGTCCTGGCTCACGATCATGAAACTGACAAATGCTGGTCATTCAACACATTCGGTTCGAACTCAACCTGGCTACTCGATTGTGGTTTGTATGTGTGTGTGTGTGTGTGTGTCAAGAGGCCTCGCTTGATAACCCATTGACACTAGAACTAATACAATCATTAAATAGCGTTAGCCAAGCATGGACCCGTCTCTGATTCCGACGAGACGGTAAGTCCTCTTCCAAAAATCATGTGAGCGAATGGAACCAGCCTGATTGTTTTCGACCGTCTTCCCTGTTTTGCTGGGCATGCGAAACAGCTGGGGAGACGTAATAACTACTCATAAGGTTGCTGAAAATTCTTGGACAGCCTACGACCGCCTTCGCCGTTCTTGGGGGTCATCAGGTAGGCGCAGTCCTCGAGTTTGTTGCTGAAAATTCTTGGACAGCCTACGACCGCCTTCGCCGTTCTTGGGGGTCATCAGGTAGGCGCAGTCCTCTAGTTTCCGACAATCTTGTGGATTATTGAAACCAACTTGCACGAAATTAGCGAAATACACCTATTCGAAAAAAAGGTTTTGCTGGAGACTCACGTGGAACCCAGCTGAATCTCTCGTTTATGATATTTTTGAGCGACTGGATGTGCTGCATTAGGCCGCCTCATGTTTCAGGTGGTACGATGTTCAAGATATCTTGATACATGCATAAACGTAATACACTACACACAAGGAAATTCTTCGACAGCCCACAACCGGTTTCATCCCTTTTTGAGACTCATTAGGTAGGCGCAGTCCCCTAGTTTCCGACAACCTTATATTCTACTTGAACCCAAATTGGGAGACGTTTAAGTAGGAGTTATAATTATGTTGATTAACCACTTACGTGGCCGAACGGTTGAGTTTTTTTTACTAAAAGCCAGACTGTCGCGAGTTTGAATCACCTTGCAGATTCGTGGGATGCGCATTGCTGACTATTTCCAATACGGATGGAACAGCTGCACAATGCTTCCTGACCTTTTTGCACAGATTACCTTCACCAGTAGAACAAAATGTCGATTATGGTTTTTGAGAAGAGCTGAGTGTTATGGGTATGCTGTGGGAAAAATCTGTCTTCATTTTCAGTATAGCAGCACGGTTGAGCTAGTTAGCCTGGTAACCGGTAAAAAGGTGAATGATCTGTGGTGACGGTCTTTCATTTAACTCTTCGTACATTTTAGTTAAGTCAGGTGACCTCGTTTTTTTTTGATATTTTTTCCGAAAGACAAAAAAATCATGTGAAAAATATTGCTCTGTAGTTTATTTTATTTACCCGAGAATCTACGGTGTTCGGAGCCAAGGACGTGAATTTGGACAGGAGCAGGTTTGCATTTGAGGTGTCTACGGGAGGAAGGTGTGCACTTTCCCTGCTAATACGAGACTAAGACAATCGACAACTTTTGAATTACTCCTCTCTGTGTTGTGGCTTTAGCGAAGATGACAGAATCTGAGCTGCTTTCGTAGCTTCTCCAGACTGAACGTCATACTTGCTGTCTTACGTTGGCCGAATTGCCCTCACCTCGAGCTTGGCCAGACAATTGTCCTCAATTTCTGGCATGCTATTTATTAGTCATCGTGCCAACTTTCCGGTCGTCCTCGTAATCGGTTCGCGTGCTTATTTTCCATACCCCCCTCCGATTGCAATAGTCCCAATGGAAGCACTCACTTCAGACGTCAACGCCCTTGTATCTGGCCTTGCTCAAGCGGATAGAGAGACGATTGTCGCTGGTCCGATGAACACACCTGATCGATTGATCCAATTCATCGAGAAGAACAAACCTCGTGTAGAGGCTATCCACCAGCGGGCTGAACGAGCCAAAACTCTGTTCGCCCAAACCGTGGAATGGTTTGGAGAGGCGCAGAACAAACCCAGCCCCGAGCAGTTTTTCGGCTTGATACTACGGTTTGTAGAAAACTTCAAGGTAATTCGATTTTCAGGATGAATGCTTGTTTCCCGTAAACGAAACTACCAAAACGTTTCCTGTATTTCGTCCGAAAAATAGAATGAGGAAATCCTTTATACTATGTTCATCTCAAGCTTATAACTAAGTTACCGAGCTTTCTGTTTCTGTCTTATTAAACGTCCCTCATTGTTTGGTTTTGCGTCCTAACTGTTCAAACAAGACTACTTTTCATCAGCATCTGTGTCGTCAACACGCCTCCTATGGGTTCAGTCAGCTGTGTGCTTACGATGGCATCCATCTTTTTGTACTTTGTTTGGGTGGGTGGGACATTAGGCAAGCTGGAGCCTTACCTCCGCTTCCACAAACAGACCCAACGACCTCCAATATGATGAAAACATTGCAAAGGTGAGATCGCCCAAGTAGTTAGAGCGCTAATTTGCTGGCCGGAAGGTTCGTGGTTCGAACCCGACCTCTGCCTCTCGACATCCCCTGTCTAGGCTTGGGCAACCTGGGAATATCTTAGCCCTCGTGCTTCCTTCTGATAGCATGGTAGTTAGGCACCGAAAGGGGCTACAGCTGAAGGATATTTTCTATTAGTTGGTGCTTACACGGGCCCTTAAGACTGTTGGTTCTCCATTAGTTCTCCATTGGCTTAGGCAACCTGGCAGTATCCCAGCCCTCGTGCTTCATTCGGGCGGCATGGTAGTTAGGCACCGAAAATGTGCTACAGCTGAACGATTGTAGATTCTTCATATGTAGTCACTTGCTGTAGCATTACTGCCTTGCGAGCATCAATTATGGGGGGGGGGGGCTAACACGTTTAAGATGTTCGGACGTCTGCAAGTTTAGTCCGCAGTTGGACGTGGGTTGGACTACACAATCATCCGCCTTCCCAGGGTTTTGCTTACTAGCAGGCTACTTGCTTCTTCGTTTGCATCAGGCTGAATTAGGCATCGGGGACGACTGTTCTGTATGCTTTTGGTTATTACTTTTCTGTGGATTCGTTCACACCCTCTTACGCGCGTTGTCACTTTTTGGTAGAGGTCTCGAGATATTTCGTTTCCCTGCAATCGCAAAAGCTGTCTCACAAACACCGGAAAATAAATCCTACACTATGAGTGATATACGCAACTTCATTTATTCGATTCAGCGAATGCATTGGGGGCCTCAGAAACTGGAACGTCCATGTTATCTGTCTGACTATCTACGTTCAAAGTTCTCACATTATTTCACAACCTCTGGGCCCATCTTTGACATATTCATGACTCTACAATCTCTGAAGGTGAAATGCGCGATCTTTCTCATTAGTTTGTCAAAAATATTTGCGTCTTTCTCTCCTCGAAGACGAGAGCAATGTCTTATCTGCCTGACTATCTACGTTCAAAGTTCTCACATTATTTCACAACCTCTGGGCCCATCTTTGACATATTCATGACTCTACAATCTCTGAAGGTGAAATGCGCGATCTTTCTCATTAGTTTGTCAAAAATATTTGCGTCTTTCTCTCCTCGAAGACGAGAGCAATGTCGTTGACAAGCGCATTTGAACTTTGGAAAGCTTCTAACATTTGAAAGCTCCTTGAAGCCTGTTCATTCCGGTCCATTATTTTTTTACTGTATCCGTTCGGAACAGGAGTGACATGTAAAGAGTGCCTATTGCTTCTTGTCAACGTAACCTGAACATCGGATAGTGGATTGCCCCATTTCACCTTTAGCCATGATCCCTGCTCCGACAGTCTCGGTCACCGCGCATTATTCGTAGAAAGTTCTCACCAAGGAACTAAACATCTGTACAATGTTTCTCGACTCTTCGAAACAGACACTTACTGGACAGAATCTCAAAAAATACGAAAAGTCTCCTTTGAGCTCTGTCTGCATCTTCCCTACATTTGGCATTTTTATTCAACGTCTAAATACATGAACAAGAGCAATCTGTTCCTCATCTCGGCCACAAACTTGTAATATTCCAACCTACTATTCAACTTTTCCCCGCCATTTCAGAAAGCGGTTGCAGAAAACGAAAAGCGTCACAGGATGGATGCCTTGCAAATGCTTCAAGCAGTCACTGCTGGACACAATGGACCCACTCTGCAAACGGCACATGCCCTCGGTGTTCCACCAAAGAAGTCAAAAGATGTAAGTTTTCTGGCCTTAGACTGACTGACTCATTCATTCACAATAAGAATTGTTTCATCTTTTATTATGATGATGCGTCTTAGAAACCGATTTCGTATCAACACTGCTGCAACCAGTCGTCACTTGTTGATGTTCCTGAGTCGTGCACCATGTACGACGATATTTGTTACCAACTAATTCCGTGTTTTCGTTAGAAAACGTCGCGAATCGCGTATGTTGAAGTGACTTGCATTCATTGCTCGTATGTCTATCTGCTAGCTACTTGACTGTGGCCTCTAAAACCGTCTTCTGCTCATTCAAATATTCACGTCTTGGATGAGTATCCAACCCCGAACATTCTTTCACATCCTCGAGACTGTGGGTTCGGTTCTCTTTGACTTCCCAAATTTTTGTCTAATGTCCGTTGAAGTGAATGACACTTTTCGTATCAGTGAGTGTTGCGAAATCCTTCAACTCGGGCCTGTATAATGCACCCACATTTGTTCGCTGTCGTGGTTAGATTGAAAGTAGACGATGAAACTCGTTTTGTATATCTGTCCCTCTGAAGCTGGCAGTCATGATTAGAGCTCTTTAGATTTTTTGCAAACAAGATTCATATTTTCACGGGGCTAAGTCTCAAGCTTTGATGCCGTTGTTTGACTCTAAAAAGACTGTCTAGACAGAGAAGGAACCGATTAATAACCAATACAAATGAGTGAAATCACTTATTCCATAGAAACGAAATTTGGCGCTACTCAATGCTGTGTGGTAGCGCTCTCAGTCGCAGTGTACTTCTGTTACGGTTTCCACAAGCACCCAAGTGTAAGCAGCAGTAGTTTGTCAACCTAGTACGTCCCGTGGGAACCACGTAAATCGGTGTAGCGTTAGACAAGACGGTCGACATTTTGGTAGCGATCAGATGGAGTGAACACAAATCGGGTTGTACAATTAGCGTACGATGCATCAGAGAACCTATGCATGTTAACTGACTGGGAAATACTGACAAGTGGGTCATTCGATCGAAACAAACAGGACACCTAGTGGGCTGTCTTTTGAGGCGTCAGGCAAAGCTGATCACATCGCTCAACCGTTAACGCAACCGCCTGTTCAGACAATCCAGCAGCTTTCCGCGTGCGCTGGTGGAGTGATGGCAATACGCTCGCCTCGCATGTCAGATGTCCGGAGTTCAAGCCAAGAGTATTCACTGCTGGTGAGCCCTAACAGGAGCGACACTCGAGTCAACTACAGCCCACCTTTGAACTCGCCAGAATAATTGTGCGAGGACAACAAGGACCGTTCATACGATCTGAACGCGAGGTCTACAGATACCTACAACTGACTGAATCAATCGTTTCGCACCCTTTCAGCGCATAATTGCCGTGCAGCCTGAAGCAAGCTAGGTGGTAGTATACTGTGGGAAGGCTTTAGTAGAGTAAGAATCGAGGAGCGAAAGATTCTGAGGGCATCCACCGGCTTAGATTGTCCTTCTGTTATTCTTCTGTGTCATATGTATCGCATACGGACAATATAACCGATATGATGGGGGTTCACGTTGCTCAAGAAAGGCCCATTGAACTCGCGATGTGTAACCCTCGTGATAACTCGACCTGCTCGTTGACCGACAGACAAGCGGAACGGATGACGTTTTGGGTCTCTTCGCAGAGGGATTTTGACCAAACTGTGATTCTCAAACACAACAGCAGCTTCAAGGAACCAATGACGGACGTTCTGTTCTTACAGTGGTCTTTTCAGAGGGAACTTCATGGTTAAGGCGCGAGACTACTAATAACCGGAAGGTGCGTAATTTCAATCCAACCCTGGCTTTTCAATAGCTCCTGTCTAGGCTTGGCTGTCCAGCAACATCTCAGTTCTCTTATTCCCTCCGGGTTACACGACAGTTGTGTATTCAGCTGTGCAAACGAATCAATATTCTTATCGGAGAGGAACACGTTTATTGTTCTTTATACATTAGGTTCCCATAATAGAATCAATCAGCATGGGTAGGGAGCACAGCATAGAATGTTAGCAACAAGGTAAGACCAATGTTGAAAACCCGGGACATATGTGTTGCATCCTTATTTTTTGAAGCGGTTATACTTCTCAGAGCCTTTTCGGCCTTCAAATAGCCAGTATGATTCGATGATATTGTTGAGCATGTGGTCTGAAAACCAACTACCCCCAACTTTATCGGACCCAACCCGAGTTTGTTTGCAATTTACAAGTAGGCCAAATGCGCCAGTCTTGTCCTAACTATGGGATTAACGCAATTCTTCAAAGTAGATTGTGCAAGCAGACAAGGGCCTTAAAGCTGTGGTGTCCTTCCAGCTACTTGATAACCCGGATGCTGATATATAATGGTTGTCGACATGACCCAATTCACAATTATTCTCAAGGAGAGTTCGAGTGCTTCCTTTCCTCAAGGTGATCTTGTGGTTTACTCTAGCCTAAGGTTGTCCAGTCCTGGACGGAACGGCGGGACTCCTTTCACAGCGTTGTGAAGAGCAGTGTGTGAAAATTTGCTTCTCTTTTCCAAACTTTAGCCGCTTGGAGTCAATCCAATACCGAACGCGACTTCACAGGGCAACTGATTTTCCCTCAGTTTTATCCCTTCCGTTGGCAGGTTCTCTCAGGACCTAACTTAACCGTGACGCAACCAGCCTAGTCGATTGTTGCTTCCGAAACACACTACACTATTCGCCAGAAAGTGCATTGCTGACCTTCACCATTGATGTTCAGATAAAAATTGGTCACACATTCGTACACGGATATAAGCATATATCTAGTCGCCTATTTTATTTATCGAATTTATCACGCCGGACAACTCATAGTTCTAGTTTGCGGCTATTGTTCGCTTCCTCCCGGTGTAAATATTCCAGCTGAGTTCTTTTATTTGAGGACATCCTGTAGCTAAATATACGGTGCAAACTAGAAGGTATACCCACATGAGTTGCCAAGCGTTGAATCCACATATTCTTGGTCCTTCTGGCAAGCCTCGTACTGAACAGGGATATCAAACATCTTACTCGGCTCTTCTACCAGATTTTGGTTGGTACCCTACCCAAGTATCAAGCGTCTCGATCGTTGTCCTTCCGGTTCCTAGTCTGTATCTCGCACCCACTGGACTTTCCGTAACGTAAATTTAACAAGATACAAATGACCAGTCTATTTGATTCCCATCGACTTATTTCAGCGGCACTACGAGCACTTTTTGCAACACGACTTCCCGCGTGATTATACTGGTTGTTAGGTTTTGCCTCACACCGCGGCGACTGAGTTGGTTCGATATGACCTTAGACATAAGACTCGTTAGACAACGCGACGACAGAGCGCACATTAATCTGAGTCGCTACGATCGATGACGTTTTGGTATGCTTGAAGGCTCGGATTCAAGGCCACTAGTTGTCTGGCATGACAAAGTCGCGTAGAATAAACGGCCAGATATATGTCCCGTTGGGACGTACAACTCACATTTATGTGCATACCAATGGTGAACGGCTCATGCGCATTTTTTACGGAATAGTTCCTCTCAATTGATGGCTGAGAATTACGCTAAGATTGGTTGCTCAAAACCCGATAGGCCAGTTGGTAGTATGAACAGAAGTTCGGTCAGTTTTTTTCTAGAGTAGAGTCAAACTGTCACGCGTCAGCCCATTACCCGCACAGTGCCCTCAGCTGCAAAACCTTTACAAGTGGAGTAAGACTTTCTACGGAAAAAATGTTGCACTTTGTTGTTGCTCAAACCAAAAAACATCCTAATCTACGTTCGTATTTCTGTAGCTCACCAAATTTCATTGTTCACTGAAACAACCATGCCTCTGTCTGAAAAGTTTTGTGGGATAACTTTCCAGCATCATTGATACCCCGGGATACCCAAATTTGGCTTAAAGTTTGGACTGGTACTCTCAACTCAGTTGCCCGATTGCTTTAGTCCATCAGGGACACGTCATAACTTTCGAAAGTTCGGTTCCATTATGCGAATACTGAACGCCTCAGCCATGTGATGGAAGAATTTGAAGTTTTTCTTTAAGTTGCGCTTGCATGTGGATACTTCCCCAATGAGGTTGTAGTTCCTGTATAAATTTTGATTGAGCTATCACTGCCACACTGCCAGTGTCTCCTTCGATCACGCTTGACCAGAGTTCTCTGTGGACTTCTTAGCCGTGACCTCGTAGGATACTACTTTTGCAGACCGTTCGGTATTGATGTTGCCGAGGTAAGTAATAGGCTCATGTTGTATCGCTCTGTACCTCTCACACTCCATGGTATACCCTAAGAAATCCAGCTCCTTTATACTCACCAGTTCTTTGGTTGTCTCCTCCCACCTCTTGGATGTGTCTGAACGACACATGTGTTCCCCAGTCTCTCTATATGTTGGCTTTGAAGTAGAAAACCTCCAAAAGATTGTATGTTCTAAAGCAGATCCTGAAGTGTTAATGGCGAAGGACAACTCCATTTCCTTTCGTTTTAATCCAGTCATTGTCTTTCGTTAGGACGCTCCAAATGCAATGAAGTGCACAAAGGGCGGCACATGATGCTGTGTGTAACCCAATAAAATCACGTTTTTTGGCATTAATAAGCTGGAGTGAAGCGAATCCTTTGTGATCGATTTCCAGGAACACAACACGAAGGACAGGTGAAGAAGCCTGAGGGCTGAGCAAAGAACATTGTTCCAACGGTTTAAGTTGGACAATTCAAAACCAACCAGTCAGTTGGTTAGTCGAGACGTGTCCCTAAATCAACCCCATCGAACGTAAGACCAGCAACGCCAGTCCCCCAGCCAACAGATGAAACGTAGCTTGATGATTGTTGCTCAGTGCAACTAGGTTGATCGCAGCCTGCTCGAATTTGTTTTTTTGTTAAATGGTGGTCAACTCATTCAATACAGTCGAGCTAGTTAGTGATCTATGAAAATTTATAGATTACTGGATGTTTTCAATCAATTGGAAAATGTTTGGGACCGATTGGGAAGTCATCGTTCCAGGGCGGTTTGGTAAACAATCGGTGGATTTATTGCTGGGCAACGTTTCGCTTTTGACACAAAAGCTTCGTTAGTAGGTAAGTAGGTTGATTGGGTTTTAAGGCAGTCTGAGAACCAATCCGTGAGATTCCTTATGACTAGTGACTTGATCAGTGCTGGGTGTTCAGCCTGATATTCCTGTTTGTTGGTTAGTGGGAATGACTAACATTTACGATAGATTGGTTAGGGGGGGAAGGGCCGGATTTTTCGTCCTTGCTTTTTCAGTCTAGGACACCTTAATGGAAAATTCCTCTTGGGATCGTTCACAGATTTCACGTGTGCTTTTCAAAGGGTACTACAACAATTGGTTTGGTTTTTTTTTGTTATTTATTCAGTCTAGATCATGGGTCAGCAAAGTTCCCTTTGTATAGACGTGATATTCCTCTTGTTTGCAACTTTTGACCTTGCGTTATGACATTCATATCTATTTGTCATCTTTTAGTACAATATTCCAGACCTCCAGGTTCGTGAACCAGCTTTGTAGACTGTCACTCCATTTATGTATACTCCGCTTCCAGACAACAGCCCTTAATCCGTTATATTCTGGTGAACCTGCTCATGGACTCACATGTCGTTGTGACTTTTTCAGCGCAAAATTATCCTTGATTTTCGTTTGTTGTAAAGGGTAGCCGTGCTTCTTACCACAATCCCGTTCTTTCTGACTGATGGCCGTTTTCATCCACTTTGTTATCATGCCACTGAACCGTGCTGGGACCCTCTGGTTTTACCAGAACCATTTCCGTGTTCCTCTGGCTTTTTGATTTACGGATAAACCGCTTAGCTCGACTACCTCCGACACAAGTGTAGATAACTATTATCGTAAATCATAACTCATCCGCACCATCCAGATTGTTGATCTGAGTAACGAAAACGCTCACAAAATACTGATAGAACAGTGAATCAATGTAAAATTATGTCCTATCCTATCAGTTTAGGGAATATGAAACTAGTTCTGTTTAAACCCAGAGCCAGTTGAGTTCCTCTTAAAACCGGATAGAAAAAAAGCTTAGATAGAAGAGTAATAGATCTTCTCCTCACACAGATTCATCGAACACTTTCCCAGCTTTCTGAAACGATAGATTTCCAAGCTATTTCTTAATTAATTTAGGCGGTTTCATTTCGCCCTATTGAGGCCCTTAGTTTTTCTTCGCTCACATTTCAACTTATGATATTTGGTTGCGAAGAAACGCATTTAGCTCACTAAATTTCTGGGCATATGCCATTAGGTACATGCGTAAGGACCGTTCGGGCCACATTAGTTCAGCACTGGGCGTGCAGCGTAATCACTGATTTGGTTGACGGGCCACAAGGTCACCGATGGTGTTCTGTTGATAATGAGTCTCACAGATGACTGAAGCTCACAATCTGTTTGAAAACACTGTTCAATTAGGTTTATTGAAGTCGCAGTTTAAAAAGGAAGCACTTCTCACCTTTCGGAAAGCAACAGCGAGCAGTAGATGTCTTAGGATGAAAATGATGCGATCGAAGAAGTTGATAAACTACTTTTTAAGCATTCTGCAGATCCGCTCGCACGAGAATCAAGGTCTTTAAGTAAAAACTGTCTCACAGAATGGAAGTTCCGAGCTAACTAAACATGCCTTCACCTCCAAGGCTTGGTTGTATGTTCCACTTTCCCGTTTTCATGTGATCGAAACTAGCAGTTGGATCCAATGTGCCTATGGCACACGGCTTATAGCTGATAAATTGATTGATTGATTGATTGGTTGATTGACCAAGGCCCACATCTAATCAGTGAACATCTGTCTAAAAGTTGGATGAATCAGTCAGCTTTAATTTGAGCGCCAGCTACGCCCATTGTGTGCCCCCAGGGATATCCGTGACTGCAATATACGAAGATGAGGAAGGCCTCGTGGCTCACCAGAATTCACAGAGTCAAGTGGGCAGAGGGTCAAATAGAAGAAATTAGAATACGTCTTGAAAAAAGTTCAACCTCGGCTCTTGAAGCGACTTCGTTTGTTGGCACTTCTCAATATAAGAAGGGATTCACGCGATGGTTTATAATTTGCTATACCACATACGCCGTATGTAAATGTCCTCCAGGAGACCCTAGCCAAAATCAACTCATTCCATTAGCAAAATTCGTCTGTTTGCTACTTTGACGTTAATGAGGAGCTCTGCCGAATACCACCCATTCATTGTGCTGTTCGTCAGCTGAATGTGTTGCACAAAGAATGCCTTATGTTTCAGTTCCCATGACATTCTAGACAGCACAAACGAGGGTTGCAACTGGGATTCGTTGTAGTCCGCCGTTGACGCCCACCTAATCTACAGATGAATGTACTTCTCTCCTTGTTGCTTGAATTTCGATGTTCAAGTAGAAACTGATGTCGCTGGAAACTCGGGAACCACGTCTACTTGATGAGCCTCATGAGAGACGAAGTCGGTAGTGGGTTGTCACCGAGTTTTTAGCAGCCTTATAAGTGGTGTCATCGTGTGCAAAGAAGTAGTCGAGAAGATGATGCTCCAACACAACACCGCTTCCGTCCGTAGTGCTCAGATAACGAAACCCGATTGCGCACCAGCACTATTCTATTCTATTCTTAGGCCATCCAGCTGACAGCTCGGTTAGGATCCCCTCCGAAAATGTGTGCCCATATGACATGGACAGGCTGATCAGCAGTATAAAATAACTAAAGGAGGAGCAGTGTGTGTGTAGAAAAATCCCGAAGGATTTATTGGAACATGTGCTGAAATGCTGTCCTTCGTTGAGTAAAAATGCGCAATCTCTAATGCCTTGTTCTTAAATTGAAGTAGCCTTAACAGCGTCTCGAATCCACGGCATACCGCATCGTATTTCGATATGCATCACTTCAGAAATGTGAATGGACTCATGAACAACTTAGTTGGGTGGCGCGTGTTTGAACTTTGGATTTCCCAATCGAAATAACAGCGGAATAGCATATCGCACAGTATACATACCCAGTTGCCTCCCCACTATTTCGAGGTCACTTATTTCTCAACGTCAGTCTTCTGTACTAGGGTCCAGTACTGAGGCGCTCATTTATTATTCTTATTTGCTTAATATAATCGCGCCCGATCACACACTACGATTCATACTTAATACTAACACAGTATTACATGCGTCTCTTTCACTTCTCCGTTTTTCCACACACACACATTTCACATGCGCTCCCTTTTGGCGCTTTGCTTACTCGCAGACATAGTTGGTGGTGATGATTCTCCTTCTTGTTCCAATCGCACTAAGACTGTTGATTGCTGTTCGCTATTATTTGTCAATCTCCTATGGGCTTCGTTCTTGCCATGCATCACGCTTATCACCACCGGCACCTTGATTTGTTTAGACAGCTGTCCTTGATTCTTCTTCCCGACCCCGTTTCCCTCTCGTAACGTGCGACTACCCCTCTTTTTGTTTCTCACGCGAACGCATCTACAGCGGCAACTGGCCAGCGAGGCACGTAATGTCAAACGCCGTTTGAAAAATCGTACACGCCAAATAACCGGTGATGGCATGATGGATGAAATTTTAGCAGGTGAGTCGTGCTGTGTAGTCAACCACCATTGTTATTTTGTTATTACTTTCCCAAAAGTTACCTGTTTTACGTTGGGCGCTACCGAAATTTCCACAAATGGACAACCCATTTGTTTTCATAGTTTCTACTTGGCTACTTGTGCTACTCGATAAGTCTTGTTTGTGATCATCTTCCTATGCTCACCGTCACTACCTTCATCGGTGGGAACATCATGGTCAAATGAGGGTGTTTTACTGCCTTGCAAACATGTTGTTCGCAAAAGCTACTGTGTGAAAAGGTTTTCAAAGTGAAGCTGGGTTTCAACTGTAGCTTATCACAAACAGATTCCAGGAACAAGGAATTTCAAGAACTTTAAGAATCAAGCATGAGAGAGCTGTTCTGGCTAATCTGAGGAACAGGACGTATTGTTTATTTGTTACCGCTAGTGAACTTTCAGATGGGCGTTTTAAATTATTTTCGGAAAACACGGTTATTTACAAGCATGTCAGAGACATCGCGAACTGCGTGGCATACTCATAAACAAGTGGATTAAGGCTTCTCTCAAATAGATAGCATCTCCAAGATCTCACAACTTTAGGGCCAGGATGAAGTCGCAGGTCTCTGTCTGGCATTCCGTTTGTAAGTTAACGAAAGGTAATATTGGAAACCTAGTGTGTAATAAAAACCAGTGTCTAGCTAGCTGGACGGGATAATTTCAACAACAGTCTTAGTTGGTCCATGTACCCTACACCTTTCATTTCTCTCGCTCTTCTTGCTTAGTTTTATTGATTCTAGAGCACCCATCAGCCTCTGAAGTACTTATATGTTTTTCTGGCTTTGAGGGCCATCAGCTGCTGTTTCCGATCAGCTTTCTCCAGAGGTGTTCAGTATTGGAGGTGGATCGCCTTAACTAGGTTGTTTGTATTTATTTGAGTACAAAAACGTTCCCCGGAGAAGTGAAGCCAGCCGGTGGTTGTACCCTAACCGACTATTCCAACTATAGCTTCCCCTATATTACGACACCTATCGTTGGCACACCAGACGCAAGTCCGGGAGCATGAGCATTTTGGCCTGAAAGGGATTCATTGACCGCATCCTTACATGGCCTCAAATAGGGCCACGCACACCGCCTGTCAGGAATCGCAGTTTTTCCGGACTCTGCAGATAGCATACCCCTCCTAACTACTCTTGGCCAGATGGGTTTTCTCTTGAAATTCGCTAGTCGAATTATGGCGTACAATGCCCCGTCAAACACGTCCTCATAACCAGTGGAATTTGTCAGGTTTGTTCAGTTTCGTGCTTAACGTTCTCATCAAGTGCACCGTCCTTGAATCTATATATCAATCTCGCCCAAAGGGAAGAGTAACGGACTTGGATTGTGAACTACATTGGTTTATTTATCGTCACATACTATTCTAAACTAAATATGGGAGACTGCCGTATTTTGGCATGTGTTTTGCTTTTTTTGGAAATGCAATCTTACCTCAAGAATCTCCATCTTCTAGTGCTTTCATGAAGCTTCAGCTGCCGTTTGTTGATCGGCTCACATATTTCGACATCTGTATAGGCCGTCACTGTGTTGTGAGATGAAGCTGAGGCGTGCATCATCAAAGCACGAGGAATAGCTACCAGCTTGTGTCGTTTATGGCATCGGAAACGAATTTCACTGAAGCTAAAGGACCGTGTGTACACCTATCAGACCCGAGTACCTCGAACGTATACAAACCATTGTTTTATTTTTGTTTTTTACTGAGGCGTCAGTATATAATACTAATGTATCGCACGAGTTCAAAACCGTTGTTGGCAACTAATATCTGCAGTACGTAAGAAATGGCACAGGGCTTTTACGGATACTCTTAGTTTTGGGAGATTGTTCCTACCTGTTCTGGTGCCAACATAAATCTGTCAGTTTATCAGTCATGTAGGAACGGGAATGTCCTGTTTTTCTGATTTCATACTTCTTTGGGTTTTGTTTTAATGCTTCATTCCTAACAGTGCAATAGTGGAAATGTAATCCTTCAGGTGGGTTCTAGGTCGTTACGTTGTAGTTATAGCGCGAATTTACTGTCTGCATCTCGACTTCTCTTGTCTAGGTTTGGGCAACGTGTTAGTAACCCAGCCCTCGTGCTTCCTTCGGGTGGCATGCCAGCTAAGCACCGAAACGGTGGTATCTATATTCTCGTTACCATCTGTGTTTGCTTTGTTATATGCCCTGTTTTATCATGTGATCTGTTTTTTTTATTTCGCAGGCCTCATTTCAGAACCACTGCAGGTCGAGGTACATCCTCGACGCGCCAAAGCGTCGGACGAATTTTAGGGTTTTTTTGGACGTTCTGGATCCGAATCACCATTCGGTTTGCTAGTTGCCTTTCCTATCCCTTTTCAACCCCCGTGTTTCGGATGCCTATTTCAATGATCATCCCTTGCTGATTCTCTCGAGCTACGCTTACCTGGCCACTTCAAGTGACATCTGTTCGTTCCCGGAAGGTACATTGGCCACAAGCATGATGATCATTCAAGTTCTGTACAATGCCTCCTTCTCCCATATGCTATGATTTACTCAATGATCTTATCCCTCTAGCCTAATGTTCGGTTCTGTTAGCATGGTTTCAATAGGCGCTTTCCATTCCTTTTTCTAGTCATCAGTTCACGGAATTCCTTAGACAGCTTACTGATTCATCATCGTACTTACGTTTTCATCCGGATACCTCTGCTATACGCTATTCAAACCGCTTCTCCCCATTTGTCATCAAAACATTGCTGGTGTACCCTTATCCCCGTTGCCTGTCTTATACTCTGTTCATTGCTGAACTTGGATCTCGGAGACCCCTCAGCCTTTGTTACCACTGTAGCACCTTATAACTCATCATCACTCAACAACTCGGACGCCAGAGTACCGGTGCGACCAGCTCACTATGGTTCGAGCAGTTAACTACTACCAGTGATCATGTCTCACCATCCTCTCCTCATCAATGTTCATCCTATCGATCGTTTGTATTTTTTTTTGTTTCGGTGAGCGCCTAACATGAAACTGCTATAGATGTACTGCTGTTGTTCCCTGTATCTCGCTCCATTTGCTTTTTTCTTACTTTTCACTATGATTTTTGTACCTCACTCTATTCGGTTCGGCAAATACGACAGTATCTCTGTGACTGGTACTTCTGGATTTCCATAAGCTAGTGAAGATCCTAGCAGGCATGCTTTTTTGTATACACCATTGGTTAAAGGCGCTTCGGATGTTCCCACAGAGGTTGAATATGCATCCGACCATCCGTTTCATTTAACAACTCCTTTGAAGTCCTTTTGCGAACTTAAACTAAACGGAACTGGAAGCGCGCGTTATCCAGTACAGTCGAGAACTGCGCAGCAACCTTGATGGAAATGAATTTCGAAATTCATGGTAGACACACTGAGTTCGCTGCCCTACAGCGACAAAACCCAGTGAAATGCGTGGCAAGAACTGTTCAAAGGTCTGTAGAAGCACGTATATCAGTGAGGGATGGCACATTTTCCGGCGAGTGATGTAGACATCCGAGCTTGTTTAGATTGAGCAAATCACTTCGATTGAGTCGTAATTACTAGGAATGAAAGTCTGGTGCTCTGCGTCGTCTGGTCACCGGATTGACGAGTTCGTAGTCGGATCTCCTAGTCGATTCTCAGAAATCGACTATCATGCAAAGTGAAGTGAAGTGGAGCTGAGGAACTGAAATTTATTCGTCTGGTTCATGTATCATTAGCTCATTTGTGGTGGGTTGGAGATTTTTTTGGTGGCTCTTTCAAACTTGGCCGCTATTTGGGCCCTCGCATTGGTCAGAGCGCGCATGCACGTTATGTGTGAAATTACATGCACGTACTCAGTATTTGTCAGTAGTGAAAAAATAAGTGAAAATTGTGTTTCCAGAGTAGTTTTAAGGGCCCGTCATGGCGACACTAAACNATGGCTACAGGGACAGGAGCTGATGACTAGCTTACAGCTCATCCACTGTGTTGGCGTGCAGGAATATTCACAGACTGTTTGAGCTTTATAGCGACTCCCGTTAACACGAGGCAACCATTACACACATTCTATTGGTGGCTACCAAAAACGAGGGATCAGAATGGAATTCGACCGGTTTAACGCCCACTTAATATGCAAATGAAGGTTTATCTCCACAGGCGACCATCCTACTTCTCTACAGTGAATTTCAATCTGATGAGGTTATCTGGCTGTGATTGCACGATGAATTCGTGTGATCCTATCAGCCGCGAAGAACTTATTTCTCGCACAATGTTTGCTTTCATCATTTCGATATAATAGTTCCTTGAGGAAAAACATGCGAAACGGTATCCCGTTTCAAACCAGTGTTTTCCATGTGCGTTCTCGCTCACTGATTCGGACTCAACATCCTTTACGAGGAGGCCAGCACGACGGGGCTTAAGCAACCAGCTGATATCTCAGCTTTGTGTGCTCCTCGCTTCGGATTATTTGTTAGGCGTCCCTAACTTTGTGATACGCCTAGGATAGGATAGTTGATGCTCAAACTCGTCAAACAAACAAACAAAGTGCGTTCTAATCTGTACCCACAAACTAGTGGCAGATCTATTGCACCAGGGCTGCACTGTGCAAATGAGTGGACGTGAACTGGTAGCCTAGCTAGTATGATTGTTGGAAATGTCAATCGATCTATCTTTCCTGACAGCTCTTGCACAGTATTCAGGACTTTAAGGAGACTTGTTCGCCGCCCTAGAAGCGGCGGAAACGTAGACATCTTCCATGAAACGGAGTTATTTGCATGTTAAGTGGATGGTATCGTCCCCAGGTCTCACATGTCGGTATTCATGTCCCATTTACACATCACCATTTGACTCCATCTCAGTAACAAACCGTTTCAGGCAACTTAAATGATTTCAAGGCATTCCACAGGAGATGACTGCGGCAGTGCCATGTCGAGGCTGTATTCGTTCGACCACGATTAGCTTTGTAGCATCTTACCTCCCTGTAGTTCTCATCAATCCCCTAGTCTATAGCCTAAGGAGTCTATAGCCTAGGTAGATCCAAGTGATGGCCATCAGACCACCGAGACACTAAGATTCATCTATTCATTGCTTACATTCCTTTGTTAGAATCACTGCCAATCTACACTTACGGTAGGCAATAGTGGTTTTAAGTTCATCTCAAAGACACTGTAACTACAAAAAATTGTGTCTTTTGTTCTCTCTCTCTCTTCGTCATCAGGACACTTGAGTTTCGCATTGCAATGTAAACACCCATTGAAATATCTAAAGAAACGGTCGCTTCAGTACGTGTTCTAATAGATTCGGGTTATCCATAGAAAAATGGTCTTTGTACCACTAAGCAATACTATAAGACAGTGTTATAAATGAGTGATCATTCATCTTCGTTTAACACTTAATGCGGGTTTTATGTAGGATTAGACTTTAGGAGAGACACGATTGGGTCCATAAAACTTGAGATTAATCCGATTACCCGTAAGAGAAACGACAGAAACCAGCCACTGCGCATTTTTGGTTTTTGGGTCAATAGTGTCTAGCTGGTATCCGAATTGTCACCCGTTCAAGTCTACCGAGCACCCCGGTGACTAGCTCAAATCCTTTCTCGAAGCAGTCGAACTTGAGTTGAATAACAAAGTTGTAATCTGATAACCGAAGTTAGATTCATCAGTTGTGGCTATTCCCAAAGAGCTATTGACTTAGATACTCACCATTACAGCGATTTCGCAAGCCGAACGTAAAACTGCAACTGACATCGTTTCGAAGACCACTGACCATCCATCCACACATTCTGTTGGTTGTGTGACTAATTTTTGTGGATCCTTTTGTGTTATCTATTCGGGCACACATCAAAGGCACTACACCGCTTCATAGCTGGCAATATTATATTTTGTTTTCCGTTGACAAACAAAGTGATAATCTTCATCAGCGGGTGAATCCCACCTTGACACCGTTGCTCCTCCATTGCGAACTTGTGCTCTCCTTCTAGTGAGAACGCTGATGACTGTCCGACGTTTCGACCACTGAATGTGCCTTTTTTAGCGGTAATCAGACGATTCCCCCCACTATTAGTTACCAGTATTTTCACTGTTAAACACCTATGCACCAGGAATGTCACAATTGATGCAGTGTTTGATTTGCTATGAAGCACCTACCAAGTACGTATAAGTAGATGAAGTTTTTATTCCCGGATTCCTCGTGCAGACTGGGTTTCTTTAAGCTTATGGGTGATCAAAGCTAGACAGTTGGACCCCACCTTCACATCGTCTGAAGGTGGACGCAACAACTGCACGGTGTCTATCCCCTTTAACTGCGTTTTATTTCACAAGGGTGTTTGATGTCCCGATCCAAGCTGAAGAAAAAATAGTTTGCATGAGAGAAATACGTTTTTTTAATTGGTACGTTAAAATGATATGCCCCGCAGAACCTTCCTATACGGTAAACGACTTTATTCTTTCAATCTGATAGCAGAGAGTTGTGTAAACGTTCATAGATGCGCAAAGGGTAGTCGTGTATTATTAGTATTCAACATTTTTATGGGACTTGCCACGGAATCGGATTTTCCCATGTCCCTTTCTGTTGCCATGGCCACGACGTTTTCCGTACTCATGATCGTCCCCGTGTTTCACATACCTAGTAAGAGCGAACTGCCGTTTCGCATCGTCGTCCGCTAGTCCGTCAAAGCGTCCAGAAGCCTTCAGATTGCCAATAAGTCCATGTTTCAGGTGTGCAAACTCTTCTCCGTAATTTTTCAACGCGCCCTTCGTGCTAAAGCCACCGTACCTTTTCATATGCCCGCCAGACGGATCGAGGGAACCGCCATGATGGAATGTGGTAATTTGTTCAAATTTCGTCCCTTTCCTGCTTGACCCATAGCCGAGCACCTTGCCCCGGGCGATCAAATCAGCCTCAAAATCATGAATATCGTCCTGCATATACTTCACATCATCACCTCCATTCGCTTTCGTATTGGTTTCTTCCTTTCCATCACTAACCTCGTTTCTTCCATCTTCGACTTGTCCCCCATTTTCAAGGCTATTGGATTTCAGATGTCTTCTATGGTTCTCCAAACGATCGATTTTGTCAAAGCGCTTCCTTGGACCGTAGATATCTGGGTGAATGTCATAGAGGTTAACGTGCGTGTCATATTTATTTGCACCATAGCCCATTGTTCTGTGTTTGCGTGGCCCATATTCAGACTGGTACTTGACGTCGTTGTATCTGCTGGCTGCATGCCTGTCGAAAAGTTTAGGCCCATCTCGACCGTAAGTTGACTTATGTCCATCATGATCAAGCAATTCTTTTTCATACTTATCATGGTATATCATTCTCTTCTGTTTAATATTCTGTTTAATACGAACAGGGATAGGTTTGCGGAGCCCGTGTATGCTCGCTTTGTTGTCCACTCCTTCGTAGCCATTCAGATTGTGCGCATGGGAGTTGTATTTATCTCCGTCATCGTTTGGTGCGAAGGGCAGATGATGCGTTTTCCACGGTGATCGGGGTTTGTACACCACAGCCTGTTCGTTGTGGCCATGCACTCGGTTATGCGATTTCATTGCGCGGTGTTGCCTGGGCTGCCTTTTGGCAATTGGTTCACTGGTGGCCACTGGTGCGTTGTGCATCTCATAAACAACTGTGTCGTGGTTGTTGGTGTCCTCATGGCGATTGTAGTCCGTGTAAGGATCACTGTCCTCACTCTCATAGTTGTCACTTGTGTCGTCGTAATACTCTACGTATGGCTGATAATTGTCATAATCGTAATCATCATAAGAGGTACTCGGATTGTCATAATTCGTTGACTCATCCACATCGTAATAGTCTTGATTGGGTAGTGTCGTCTGGTAGTCTGATCCGTAATCTCCCACGCCGTAGTCGGTGCCATCGGAATAGTCACTATCGTATGTATTGTATGTACCATAACCATTACTCAAATCAGTTCCGTAGGAATCATACTTGGTGTAGGTACCGTACTTATCTTCTGGTTGGTACGTGATCACTTCATAGTCATCATCGGTGGTAGAAGATGACGCGCTGTACGTGTCGTAGGAGGGAGTGTAGGTGTCATCGATGAGCTCGTAGTCACTAGAACTCCCGTAGTCTGATGCACTATCATATGTGTCGCTGGTATCGTAATCTGAACTGTACTCACTGCCGTAGTCGGGCAAGAGATCTATCACATTGGTGTATTTAGTGCCGTAGTTAGTGTCATAACCTACATCGGTCCCATAACTTCCTACAACGGTGTAAGCATTTTGAGCATCATCCAAACCAGTCACCGATTGAACTGTCGTTCCATGCGGTTGATATTGAAGGGCTCCTGCATACACTACACACGCGAGTGTCAGCAAAGCTGACTTCATTCTCGTATTGCTTTGGATAAAGCACCAAACGTTGGTCGGTGCACAATTTTTATAGCTCCTTTCGGCATATTAGCCAGTTAAACGATTCTCCACCAAGTCACATGCAGTAAAATTACGCAGAGATTGACAACGTCAGATCGATATATTTGGGCTGCTGCTGGAAGCAGAGTGCACTGCGTAGTTATTGATCTGGTGCACTCGGTGGAACTTTCCTAGGAAACTTTTCTTTTCAGACAGAACGACACCAGAAGTGTGTCTTACTGACTATGACCTCGGTTGCCTCATAAATGGGCAATCTTGTTATAAACTTTACTATGTTAGCGTAAATCCTCACGTGCATAGTTGCTTGTAATGAAGAAAGGTTCCTTAAAATACGGTATCCGTAAAAAATGCAGACAGACGTGGATTGAAGGTCACAATTTAACTCACTTTTTATCTATATACACTAAGTGACTGTTTCACTAAGACCCTTCCTTGTTATGCTGGACAATGTTCCCCTTCACCTTATGGTTCTTGGTTCAACATGTGATTCAACGGACTGACACAATCCACGTCAAAATGCGCTTTCCCGTTAGGCTATCTAACGGGATATTTGTACCGGAAACCGTACCCCGTAACTCAACGAACTGGTGTTCTACTAAGCTTCCTCGCCAAGGATCTACTGCATTCATCCACCTAATTACTCATTCATTTGTCCATTTGGTCACTCATTTGTTAGTCAATTTATGATCTCAGTATCTCCTGAAAGAAGTGGTTGGAGAACGGCCGTCCTCTTAAACCATCAGGAACAGTATGCATTGAGATGTTACTAATGTCTAGAGCAATTTTTCCTCAGTTGTGGTCGTTAAATACGTCTCTAAATGAGTCAACCGGATACGGACGAAAAAACGGTTCAGCCATAACGCCCTTTCGGTGCTTGGCTGCCATGCTACCCGGAGGAAGCACGAGGTCTGGCATACTGCTAGGTTGCCCAAGCCTAGACAGGGGAAGTCGAGAGGCAGAGGTCGGGTTCAAACCACGGACCTTCCAGTCAGTAAATTCGCGATCTAACCACTTCAGCCATCTCGCCCATCGGATTCGAGTTTCCATATGTGCCGTAAGATTTAAGGCGGTGTCCATCCATCCAATACGCGGAAGTAATTTACTGCAGCCGTTCAAGCGAATGGGTTGCGAAATGACAGGGGCTACCGTTAGGTGATTAGCGAACGAGTCCGCGCTGCGTACAATTTGGTTGCGAATACGCAACTTTAGTTGTTTGACATGATAGTATATACGGGTGAGACGGCCCAGTTGTTTAGAGCGCGAATTTACTGACCGGAAGGTCCGTGGTTCGAACCCGACCTCTGCCTCTCGACTTCCCCTGTCCAGGCTTGAGGAACCTGGCAGTACCCCAGCCCTCGTGCCTCCTTCGTGCGGCATGGAAGCTAGACACCGAAAGGGTGGTACAGCTGAACGAAAAAATCCGGTTCTTTGTAGGGAATTGCTGGGTATCCAATTGAAAGTGTTGAAAAATACACGTGAACCATGCCGCAAAGGGTACAGGGAGTGGAAGTGAAGAAATGAAAGGACACTAAACGTCTGTACTCTATAAGTAGATTTAACTTTAAATACTGATCTACTCCAAGATAAACGGAAACTACAAGGTACCAATATAAGTGCCTTCAGTAAGCCTTTAGTTGAGCAACTTATTCGGTCACCGTGGGCATAATATACGATTTTTTTCATCTTTAAGTAAAATAAGACGCTTTGTACTGTCCTCCTGCTAATGTTCTATTTAGTCCAACATGTTTTACGTGTGAGACCGATGGAAGTAATCTAGAATTTGACATCTTGCACAGTTCATCTTAAGCATGATATTTAACGAAGAGTCAGAGGTGAGGCAGAACGACAAAAGTCGTGAAAGGAAGAAGGCTTTCGCTGCGGAGTTATTTATTAAGAAAAAACAACTGAACAGTTACAGACTATTGGACAGAAAAGCAAAACTCTCATATGTATCTCGGTTTTAAAAACTGAATCTCCGTCTTCTTCTTGAACGTGTCTTCCTGAACTTTCCTGGATATTCATTGATTATCACTCAAATGTAGACGAATGCTACAAAGCAATTCCACAAATTCCATATAAATCCCACTATTCAATAGACACAAAAAGGAGTTGCGGGAAAACACAGTACTCGCATGCCTCATCAGTAGTATCTACCGTTACACTAGTAGTCACATCTCACAAGATGAGACCTCTTGTGCGTAAATATGCAAAATCACAAACGTCCTCAGGGGCTACGTGTAGTCTAGAGTTGGTCGCTGTCAGCTCACATTAAACGCTGATATTGTGCTACTGTGCCTGCCGGATTCGTTGCGCAGAATGTTCGAACAAATGATCAGTAAAAAAACGAACACCTGTATATGAATATCCTTCTAGCTCCCAGCTGATCTTGGTGAATTTAAACGCCGCCTATCTACCAGAGAAGCGGAAATCTCAGAACCGGTCTGGAACCTGCATGAATTGGATTGACCTCTCCATTCGGTACTCATAAGGCAGAATATAAACATTCAGCACAACAATAGCCTGTTTGATATTCACTGTAACAACTCCAACTGTTGTGTTCGTTATCGATACCACCTCATCATTGGTTACACAGCACGATGGATCGGCATTGCCTGTCACATCGAACTGCGCCGATGGAACGTGACGCAGGATGGGTAATGCTGCTTGTGGTGTAACGCCCAGGTGCAGCCAGCTGAAAGCTGTCTATCCGATGTAAACCCGAATGGATAAGACCAGACAGTTTCAGCTAATTACCTAAATAACACTTTTAACCAAGAAATCATGTGGAGGCAAATACATAGTTGAAATCCATAGTGTATGCGAAGAGTAACCCATCCATCGGAGGCAACCTGTGCCCACGCATAAGTCTAGCTGGTGTTAGGCATCACAAAAAGTCATTTTAGTGCCTTTGTAGATTTAACACTCTGGAGTGTCTATAGTCTGGGATGGATTATACTCAGATTCAAATGACGGCAACCTAACAGTTAAATTCAGTAGCGCCCCCTTCGGGTGAGCTGGGAACCTGCGTTGTTAACGGACTGCGCGTGAGTCACCTCCTAATGGCGTTCTGCTGTTAAACATTGTTTGGTTTGCTTTGGCCTGCAAGTTGATGACCACGGAAATTTATTTCTGGGGCCATCGTAAACTTAAAATGTGTCCGGAGGCCAGCCGTCCCTAATTACCGAACATCACATCATTTGGACGGATGTCACGTGCAGGATACGGACCAAACGAAGGCATGCCCTGATTGGTCAGAATGCCATCCAATCCGGATCGCGCATCATTGGCTCGACACTTCTCGCCCCGTCACGTAGATTCTAGCACGACCTTGTGGAACAGCCTGTGACTACCCTATAAATACTGTTGCAGTAATTTTCCTTTGTCTCCATAAAGGGCTGTGTAGAGCTACCTTGCCTTGTGATATACCACAGTGGGCGGAGCAGGAAGCCAAGGGACCGATACAGAGTTGAACGATCATCCATCAAGTCACAACAACATGCTAATGAGTTCACCGACCCGTATTGATATAAGCCCACCTTGAACACGAGTTAATCGGTTTCCTGTGAACCGGTGACCTGCATCGTTCACGAATTTCCTCAACAACTATAGTAAGCGAGAACTGCCTGCGTACTTTACGCTGAACATAGCCAGAGGTCTTCATGAGATTGGCGAGCAGAGAACTTTCCTTTAAATTGCCGTGTGTCAAATACTAGGGGCTTTGTACCGTACCCAGTATGGGAGTCACACAAATTCTCTGAGACGGTAATTGCGATAACTCCAGTAGTAAAATGTTTAGGTTCGTCCTATTCATGTAATTTGCCAACACAACACGACAATTTCTTGGCTCCGTAGTTATCAGAAAATGTCTTGCTTCCCTTTTATTAGGGCATCTAGAAGCTCCTCTTATAGCTAGATGATAGGAATGTACCGGGGGATTGCGTCCCACAGAGCGGTACATCGTACTTTTGGAATTCTGCTAATTTTGTGTCGCTCAGTTGCGCTTTTACCTTTCGTATCTCTTCAGAAATCTTTAGAAGGCTCGGTGCTTATTTATGTATGTATAAATATCTCCATAGCCCAGTAGGTGCCTGTGGGTCCACACAAGATTTTGTTGAAGTTCTCGCGCCGTCTACCCTAATTTTCTGCACCTGTTCAAGACCCGTGACAGCATCATCGTTTGATTCGGTTTAATTTACGGCCATGTGTGGCCTCGAGATAATTGTAAAATCTTTCGTGTAGTCGAAAAATGGCTAACTGTTAGATCCTTCGTCGTATCTTTTCCCACCACCCATCATTACTGCGGCTTAGTTCTCCATACAGTTCATTTTTCACGCTCTTTGGCTACTTTACTGATCAGCACAAGCAGCGACTGCTTTGTTCTTCCCAACCTCCACGTAGCCTACTGACTATCGCTGTCAAAGCTAGACCATTCGCTTCCCTACGACAAGCTTGCATCACTCGTATGACGCACAGTTCTCAAACGTCTCGCTGTCGAACGATTTAGCAACGGAACACATACGATTGACCGCAACCTGTCTGGGTTCATGTTCTATGGGGCCGCATATCGTGTTTGTGGTGGCCATTAGGTGAGTACAGTACAACCGTATCAGCCTGTCACTGTTTACATCTGCCGTACCGAAACCATAGAAACCAAGGACACACGGTCACGAGGAATGTTCCTGACCAACCGTTACACTGAAGTCCCTCAGCAAATATAGGTAGTCCTTTCCCAAAACTAACCGGAAAGGGTAGCAACTTTGTCCTCTGCTGCCGATTGTAGTGTTCCGGCGAACGTACAGATCATAGCCACAACCTTTACACGTCAATCTCTATCGCAGTGACAGGGAAAGCAGAGCGATCCCGCTGGATTCTAAAGAGGGTACCTTCTTGAAGGGATCGGAGGTGACTTTCTGCCTCCTCTGGGAAGCGATCAGAAAGAAGAAGGATGGTGAATCAGC